GGGGGCGGGGGGCTACCAAAGCCCCAAGCCGTGAGGGGCTGAAGCCCTGGAGTCCCAACCCTAAATTTGGTAGGAGAGGAGCATGATTTTTTTTTAAGTCCAAAGGGGGTGGCTAGTACAAAAAGTTGAGAAACACTGAGTTAAACTAACTCCATGGTTGATGGATCCTAAAGCATAAAAGCTTGCGCTGGATGACGTCCCAGCTCATATCTTTACACCAAGACTCAGTTTTACCTCAGAAGACCGTAGAAATCTTTCCCTGCATGTAATGTATCGAGTTATCCGAAATCAGAGGGAAAAAGAGACATCACAATGATATGGTGGTGCTTCTTGGTAAACTACATTCTAATACAAACAGCCATTTAAGATATTCACACAGAGTCCCACAAATACCTCCCTTACAAAGTGACTTGCAAAAGGGAAAAAAAGGGCTTGTGCTTTTTCATCATGACGAAGGGGGAGTGAACACCCTTTTCCTCCTGGCTTTCCCTCCCTCCCCCACAAAAAGAACGTTTTTTGCTTGCCTTTTTGCCACAGGAATAGCCTTAAAACCATTTTTTTCAATGACTTCTCGGGAGGAACCGGACCATTCAATGAATTGACAAGAGTATTGAGCCTTTAACAAAATGCTTGTCATTCTCAACTATTCATCAGGCACAGGAGTTAAGAGTCAACAAAAACAAATAAAATGCAGAGGTTAGAACAGACTGATTAAATATTCCCTCTGAGCTTTCATTTCCTTAATATTTGCAGTATAATCATCTCACTGATTCTCCTGTCATCCTGAAAAAAACCCAGAGGAGATGTGACCCAAATTTCATATAGAACAAATTTCTTATAGAACCTTCTTTATGCATCTCGAAGCAAAGACAAGCACAAGCCTTTGTTTTAACCTTTTGTAGGTCTACCAACAGCACCTTTTTAGCATGGAGACCTGTGCATGACCTTGTTTTTAAATTTGTTTCACAAAAAGATTGGAATCAAGATTCAGATTGGTGCTTAAACTCATGGAAGTGGTTGGAGAAAAAGTGACATTTACCTCATGGTGTCATCATGAACCAAACAACCATGCAACACTTCATGCAGGTTCACCAGTAAGCACAGATGAGAACCAGGTAACACTTGGAGAGAACAGCAACTAAATAGGGGTGGTACAACTGTAGACACACCTCAGTCACACAGACAAACTGCTTACCCTCAGGTTTAGTGGTAGTACCATCTTTAGGCAAATTTTTAAAAAAATAAGGAGAGGATAAATAGGGAAGAGTTAGTAATATTAACAGAACTGGGCACTGTATATTAGTTATAGAAATAAGCAAAAATAAATGAATACACTTAAAGAAAGGAAACGAGAAAGAAAATGTGGTTAATTGGCAACTCAAAGCAAGAAGCATCTGAACAGGTCTTAGAATCAGAATAGTTTGGTCCCATTGCAATCATGTATTTAAAAAAAAAGAAAACTTTGCTAAACCCATTCCTTTGCTTGCCTTGCCTATTCCTTTTGCAGGCAATGTCACATGAAATCTTTCCTTTTTGCCTGTAGGAAACGAGTTCCCTTCAGAGCCAATCCAATGCAGGCATCATTCAAACAAGAGACAGAGTGCCAGAGCAGAGCAGTAAACACATTCTGCTTTGAAGTCACAAAGCACTGCCGCATTCCTGTCTTTAGCCTCTCTCCATTTGGAAAACGATGAGAAGCGTGTGTTTGACTCTAGCATTCTGGCTGCGGTTCTCACTGCACTGCATCTAAACTATGGAGCTAATGTGAGTAACTAATTTGAGCCAGGGCAAATATTTCTCAATAAATTTAACAGAGCCAATGAATTTAAATGAAGACAAAAGTTTTAGCTGTAAGTGAAGCCTGTCTTCAAAACAAATATATACACATATCCTGATAGGAAATCCTGTATGAATTCTATTACACTGCCAAGAGAGCCAGAATGTCCTATTCAATAAGTAAAGCATCCAACTAACAACAACTCTGGTTCACAACACAAAGCAGGGGTATCCATTCTCATGCCAACTAGAGGTCTGCTACAATCACTTAAGCTGGTAAAAATCAATGGAGTTACATCAGTATTAAGGCAATGAAAGTTACAACAGAATCAGATCCAGGCTCAGACGATTAGCTCTCCCTGGGTCAAATCTAGGCTAATAAAAACGGACACGTGAAACCAAGCAAGTAATCTAGCAATTGCTCTTAGCAGCTTTTGAACTGTATTTCCTCATCCACACAGCCTGCCAGGCCACCTGAAAAGTAGATTCTACATTGAATGGTGACTCCACTTGTCAGCATGCAAAGATTGGGGCAACAGAAAACAAAAGGAATACAATACATGATGTAAACCCTCAAAAAGAGCCTGAGTGGAGGAAGGTAAGCTTTCATGTAAGCTAAAAAATAACTCTAGCATTCTCACCTATCAGCCACATTGCTCTCTTTGTTTCTCTATTCCTTATTTATATGAAGTGAAAGCTCCTAAGCCCAGGATCAAATGCACCTAAGACATTCCTAATGTGACCTGTTCTTTAGTTGCAGAGGGGGCTGCACTAGGAGTGAATGGGGCAGCAAGCATCTTCCCCTGAACTGCCACAGAGCCAAAACAACATCTCGTCTGTCTTCACACATAAATGTGCTGCGCAGTGGGAAACTGAGGAAGAAAGCCAAGTGTCTCAAAGCAAACTGTCTTTCCTGCAAGGCTCATTCCCTCTGGACATGTATTTTTCTTTAGTCCCTGTGGCCAGAGAGCATAAACTGGTGCTGATCATCTTGTTGGAGACCTGGCTTTATTCAGAACAAGCCATCTAAAGTCAATTCATAATACTAGAGAAATTATCTGCTTTCTAAGCAAACACGGAAGCTCACCTAGTGATGCGTAGGAGCCTGGGGGCAGGGCTGCCGCAGAACTGAAGGGTGTGGAAGCTCCAGAAGATGTTACTTTCGACTTGGCACTAGCTGCTGCATTCACGTCGATGTCGCTGCGAGACCGCTGCAGAGATCCTGGCGTTGACACGGATTTTGTACTCACTGTAGAGGCTTTAGATAGGGATGGGGGAACAGACACACAAATTCAGACTAGTGGAGATGAATTTGTTAAGTATCAGAGGGGTAGTCGTGTTAGTCTGAATCTGCAAAAGTGACGAGGAGTCCTGTGGCACCTTATAGACTAACTGAAGTGTAGGAGCATAAGCTTTCGTGGGCAAAGACCCACTTCACATGCATCTGACGAAGTGGGTCTTTGCCCACGAAAGCTTATGCTCCTACACTTCAGTTAGTCTATAAGGTGCCACAGGACTCCTCGTCACTTTTGCATGAATTTGTTTGACTCTTCATTTCAAAGCATCCAGTTAGAATGCTCTTATTCAGGTGCAAATGCTCATGTAAAGGACGAGAAAGAGCACAATGCACTCGCAGAGGCAGCGTGAGCTTTCCCTTGCTGCCTGGCAGAGGTGTCTCAACCTTGGCCTAAGTGGCCACTTCTATCTCTACAGCCTGTTCAAGTCTTGAACTCTCTGCTGAGATGGTCAACAAAGCCACTAACCAGTGACAGTTCAGGTGGTGGCTGTGTGATGTAGGCCAGGGACTATATCAGGGACTATAGTGGCTTAGCTATAGCAGAACCCCAGAATACAGATGGTGTCTATTCCAGTCAACGTAGAAACACCATCACTTGAGTGACAGTAGGTAGATCAATAGAAGCATTCTTCCGTCAGCCTCGCTGGGTCTATATCAGGAGTTAGGGTCAGTGTAGCTACGTTGCTTAGGGCGTGGATTTTTCACACCTCGGAGTGATGTAGCTATTTTTGCTACTACTTTTAAGTGCAGACCAGGCTGTAGGCCCACTTACTGGGACCTGGCCTATAAAATCCATTGTAGTTCTCACATAAACTCGGTCACTAAATAGCAAAAACTTTGGGCAACTCCAGACCTGGGGTACTTAGAAGTAATGACCGAGCTGTGAATGATTCATATCTTATTACCAGTGCCCTGTTCTTTTCTAAGTACGGTTTCCTCTACTCTCATCAGTCCGTTAAAATGTATTGCCTTCTCCACTTTATTTTGAACTAATTCACAGTGCTGTTCTGCAGTGGCTTCTGTGAGCAGAAAAGTATATTACTTATATATACTTGATGCTCTCCACTGATGGTATCTAGTAGCAGTCAAAAGTGTGATCAAATCAATTCATCTAGGCCCTGGACTTTGGAGGTTACTACTAGTGAGGCCTGCCAACAGCAACCCCATCTGCACGTGAAGGTTTTTTGTTTGCTTCACTCCTTAATGTTCCTGCCCAAGAGAATGTCCTTCATGCATTAAGCTGAAAGTGCCTGGAATCAGAGCGAAGCTCTGAAGATGCTGAAAAGTCTTGATGGAAAACATCAAAGAAGCTCAATGTTATTTCTGATTGTATCAAAGGCCTCTGTGGGATACCCTGCCTGTATAGGGATACACAGCAGAGACTCAGAAAAATTATAACATGGTGGCTATTAAAAACCAAACAAAACTCAGAGCTGGAAAAGGATGATTAGGTATTCTTGTCCACCCACTTGCCAGTGCATTAGGGCTCTGATGGCAAAGTGGTCCAGACCTCTCTTGTGTCCATAGGCAAAAGCACTTTTGTGATCAATTTGGAATTTAGTACCATAGGAGACATGCACATAAGATGCATCTACCACTATATGCTGGTGACCACAAGAAGAGCTGTATCTGACTGGACTATCAATCTAGCCCAGTTGCAGCCTAGGGTTTTTGACAGGTATTCTGCAGCTGACTAGCTTATAGTATGGAGAGTGTGGCACAGCTGTGTCACACTCTCCATACTATACCCTAGTCATAAAAGCCTTTCTGACCTTCCCCTTCAGGTGAAATCAATTATAGGACGACAGTGCAAGTTTCAAAGGTGTAGGCACAGTAGCAGTTTATGGATAGCATATGCTGCATTATGACGGGTACCAATTTATTTCGAGTGGAATCTTCTTAAAAGTAGTATTTTACAAAGGACAACTTCATAATCAATGGAGATTTCATTATTACCCGAGTCACTCTTTTGAACATGGAAATATTAGAATCTTTTATCTCACTTCATTCCTCTAGTTCCTGTTCTCACCTCTGGATGTAGTGCTTCCAGTAGGACTTCTTTTGGCAGACAATGGACGGCTAGAAATGAAACACAGAAATGTATTAAAGTCAGACAGGCATTTTTGGAGTTACCAATACACGGCAATACAAAAGCCACCATATTTTTAGGAGGCTTTGGTCTACATTATTTTACTTGTAGCTGATTATAAAAAAAATCAGTGGCCTAACCATGAGCCCACTCTCCATACTCCAGTATGTGCCAAATGTTGCTATACACACAGAAGCACGATCATACCAACCACAACCTCAGATTTCTCCCATGGCTCCCCACTTACTTCAGGATTTCTTTCAAATCTGCCCTCTCTGTTTTCAGAACTCTCCGCATATATGCTCCAAGTGACTTCAATGATCCAAGGCACAAGAAGAGTCTATTCCCAATTGTCATCATTCTCTACTCCCCTCTCCGCTAAACCAGAACTGGCATTCAATCCAGCGCTGGTCCTTCATCACTGAAACCTGCTGTGCTGACCCCCTGGCTTTGGAGCCATTCTCGTCTGAGTGATGATGTCCACTTGGGCCGGTTTGTTTTGTTTACTCCCTCGCAAGCTTTCCCTGTGCTCCCATGACACTCTCCTGCTATTGCTAGGCTGCTGGCCTGACCCAATTTCATTTCCTTTTTAAACCTATCAAATATGTCTTCATAAAATTAAACTGTATATTCATTACCCTGCTAAACCTGGAATCTCTTTTTAGAGGCTATCCCCATGTCTCTGCTGAGTACATAGTCAGAAAGGCTTTGCAATAAACAACTATTTACATACAGTAATAGACTAACAGGATTTTTTGTTTAATTATAAATATCAAGGATTAATAATACTCAAAAATTACAATGAGCATTAACAGAGCAAAAGAAAATTTCAGGTCCTATGCAAACAGTGACCAATGTATTTTCTACATTTCTTTCTAGGACAGAAGTGGATTTTACAATTCAAACTGTAATAGGATAGTCTTCAAAAATTCTACCACTGTTCAACTGGGGCAAATTTGGAGTCAACGTTCTTTGACTGTGTTCCCTCAAAAACAGCCAAGAGACACAATGTAGTAGAAGAGCTATTCATCTTGCAGCTTTATAATTTATATCTAGCTTGGCCACTTCTCTTCTTACAAGAAAGATACACTCAATTCTCTGTCTTAAGACTAAGCACAAAAATTACAGGCCAAACAAGTTTCTTTTTAAGTTAGGAGGGATGACTAATACCATCTGGCCAAGAATGAAAAGCCTCTTGTCCACTTATTTATGGATTCAAGACTGACTCCGGGATATTTAGCAGTGTGGGTAGGTTTCAGGAGGGGAGGGAGGGGGAGAAAGGGTTGTTCTTTAATATCTAGCCAGCCAAAAACCTCATAGCCATCTTTTGGAGCTAGTCAAATGTTAAGATCAAAAAACAAATGTGAACAGTCATAAGAGACGAGAGACACAAGCGTAAGCCTGAAGCTGGGAATGGTGATGATACAACGTCATAGTTACTCATCTGAAGTTTAGTCGATAAAATCAGTAATAACCAAATACCCAGACTTACTTGAGACTCTCCTGGGAACTGGAGGACGAGCGGTCGGACTGGGGCAGCGACACTATGCTATCGGAGTTCTTCAAGTGCGACTGCAGGGCTTTCTGATAGGAGGATTCCAGTGTGTGATACAAGTGCTCTGCTTCTCTGCCGAAGTGATTGTGGAAACCCCAATAACATCTGAAAATGAGATCCCATTGAAAATGCCTTGCCACAGCAGCTCAGCTACAGGAGGCAGCCATCCCCAAAGGCAACGGCTCCTTAACTGAGCCCATTTCAGTGGCACAATCTCTCTGAGACTCAAGCGAAACACACCACCCAGGAGCTGCCTTTTGAGGAAGCTATTCCACACAGGACATACTGAGCAGAAGAGGAAGGCGGGATGCACATTGCACAGGGCGCCACAGGCACACTGACAGCAGCAGGAGGGGGCAGAGTCCACACCCAGATGTCACAGCTCCAATCAGGAGGTGAGGAAGAGGAGCATTTGCCTGCAAGAGCAGCAGGGATTAGGCAGACACTCCATGGTGCGCTTCGACTGCCAGCCTCCCAGCGAAAGGGGAAAATCTAGTGTGAGTGCTCCCTGGATCTACGGAGGCGGAGGGGACACTACCTAAGTTCCCCCTAAGCCATGTGGCCGTGCAGCTTCCCATTAAGCCCCTGATAGGGGCTTCAGGACTGAGATCTCTGTCCACAAGCCCTGCAGCGGGCTGCTCCCAGGGAAGCCCAAGCCCCAGCAGCCTGCCCCACCTTGAGCCCCCACTACAGCCCTGAGCATCCTCCTGCACCCCAAAGCCCTCATCCCTATCCCACCCCAAAATCCACACCCCCAGCCCATATCCTGAACCCCCTCCTTCATCCAAACCCCAGCCCTGAGACCCCTCCCCAAACCTAGAGCCCCTCTCCTACACTCCAATCCCCTCATCCTCATCCCAGAACCCTGGCACCCCAGTCTCTGTCCCAGCCCTAAGCTCCTCAATCCCAGCCCTACCCCCTAGCTGAAGTCCTCACACACCTGCACCCCAATATTCTGTCCCAGCCCTGAGCCCCCATCCCCGCCACATGATTTTTGTTATGTGCACCCATACAAAGGTGATGTGTCGCTCATCACTTCCAGATTGGTGCACATAAAAAAATTCATTCTGCTTAGAGGTGGAAAAAATTAGAGGGAACACCGGACACTACACTGGTGTTTAAAGGGGTAGGACAGGCAAATTAATGTGAATTCAATAACTGTTTCAGAAACAATCTGCTGTTGATCTGTGGGCTTGATTCATGACAGCAAAACCAGAAATTTTTCTTTCACACGGTAACAGAACAGTGACTCTCTTACTCATTAACATTCAAAAGCAGATATGCAGTGACTGACAATTATCCAAGATGATCTTGACTCTTTGAATAATAGCATGCAGGACACTTTGACTGCTACTGAGACAAATCTTAGGGAGTGCTAAGAGCACTGCTCTCACTGTCTTCAGTAGCACTGGCTCAGCATTTCTCAGGATCTAGTAAACTCAACAACAAAAAAGCACAGGGGGAAGAGAGAGAGAGAAACAGGACTTATGTGGCACTAACAGCCTTTCAGAAGATGCTGAGCAGTCTTACTTCCTGTTATCATTGATAGGAGTTACAGGCACCTATCCGGATTAAGCTGGAGGACTGTTTAAGGACAAGATCAATACATGAAAATTAATCCAGAACAGTTAGCACGTGACAGCTGCTCCCCAGACAGAGGAAGTCATCAGCACTTTCATCTCTTTGCAATAAAATGCAACTATTTAAATCTTTATGCTGGCAATATGTTAATGAAGAAAAAAAATGGAGAGTTTGACATTCACTGTCTCAGAGTCTGCCTAGCTATCTATCTGGGTTACTCAGCCACATTGGTGTACTTCCTAGGTGCCAAAAGTACTTTCATGACTGGAAAAAATGCTTACTCCCAAAATAATTTAATACTTTCTCTACTATGGACCACTATTTCTTGAAGCATCTCATTTAATCATTGGGTTCTTCTACAGCAGTTAGTGAAATGTAAAATGCATCTTAAACCAGAATAATGTGTGCTTAGTTTAGGAACAAGTTCTCAGTATACCAAGACAGCCTCCCATGGACACATACACTCACTTTGGGAAATAGAGCAGAACCTCTTTTATATACTTTGTGACCAGGAAAATCATTCCAAATTAACGAAGTTTCTAGATAAGTGATTTAAAAAGGCAAAAAAAATGCTGCCACATAATTATACTTAATTAACTCTGAAGGTGGTTTTCATGATTTACAATATTTTGTAGTAGTTTAATGGCGAGCCCCAAGCCTGTAATATTTACACAGGCAAAAATTCCATTAAGGACAATGAGATTTTTGCATGAGGTAAAAGAATCCGGCTTGAAATCAAATGACGCTTGACTATTAAATCTCACTATCCATTGGCAACCAGTCTTTAAGAGGAAGAGAACATACATTAATCCATGGATTAATCCACGCAGGGAAAAAACAAAGTTACAAATTGATTTAATCTTAGACAACAATGTAAAGTGACCAGAATCTAAAGAAGCAATTAATGTATGACTGGAGTTTTATTAATAAAGACAGCGCTGACTGCGTTGTGGTCTGCTCTTCTTCTCTGCTGAAGTCATGAGCTTTTTCTATCAAGTGCCACGGGACTAGGAACAGGCCCTGTGTGTATCGGTCTTAGCTTCAGTTTCCCATCACACTATCCTGTGTTTCCAAAGTGATACTTGTTTATCTTTTTTTAATCCACTTACTTTCTTGCCTCTATCCTGGCTTCAGAGTCCGCATCGTGGATTCCCTTCTTTATGGTTTCCGCTAATACTGAGATGTGTCTGAGACAAGAAGAAAACATTGTTCAGCTGGTGAGTAAAGGTGCAGAAAGCCTCCCTGCACTCATGGATGAGTCTGAAAAGTTTAGTGATTTCTCCCCCCTCTCAGCAAACAGAGCATTTCACAGCTTTCCCTCCATTTCACATAATATCTTGTCAGGGGGTTATTTATTTATTCTTACAAGACAGCTTTGTCTCACTCCTGGTCGCTGGAGAGAAGAGCCAAGCTGTATTCTTCAGAGCCTTTGTTGCCATGGAAACTACCTGGGTGTAATAATAATCTCTAAACCCTTAGAGTAGCCCAGGGCAATTTAGGTTAATGAAATGTGGATCAATCACCTCTCCTTTTCCCCTCTTTCTAAGCAGACCATTAGTTCAAATGGCCATAATGTGTCTTAAAAATATTATTCTCTTATTATGTCCCTATTAGTTGTGTTAAACTAGCTGTGCCGGCATTCGGCCTGGCATCCGAGAGGCAAAATCCCACCCAGAGCACCCCAACACCAGTGTACATGATATCCCCCCGTTTTGAAGTCCGCAGCATGCTCCAATCTCTGCATGCGTCCAGCATCACTAGTCAGTAATACAAGGTGATGGGCCTACAGACTTAGCTTCTCCTACCACTTCCAGATGGCCTACGCCCCAGTGGTTGAAGGAAGGGAATACACCCATGCTTGGTTGGGTGAACACAGAAGCTGCAACTGCACTTGCAAGAGTCAGATCCTAAGGCCAGAAATCTAGGGGGAAGCATAAGGGAAGGAAAAGGCCCCTCGTGTGCTTCCCTCTTTGCATACCAGAACAATCTAGCTCTTAGAGATACTGGCCAGTATGGGGGGGGGAGACAGGGGGCGGGCGGCTATTTAGAACAGTATTACTACTTTAGTATCTGGAATTGTTACAGCAATATTTTGGAATGACTGGCCCACACAGTACTTGCCTGCAACAGGAAACTGAAATGCCTAAGATCTTCTTTTCTGCCAACTCCAGTCCCTCTCTCCCATGCCTCGTTTCTCTCTGCCACTTGTTTCCAGTCAGGAAAATACCAGACTCCCTTGCGTGAGGTAAATCTGGAGAGTGGCAGTGCTCAAGAACTCATTGACCATCTTCTCGGTGGCCTACCTGGAGAAGGCCCACTTCTCTAGTCCATTTAATATGGCTTTCAGGAAGTAGCATCTATACCCCTGGGGTAACACCTGAAGCTCCAATGTTTGGAAGGCCTCAGCAATTCCCCCAATAGCCTTTGTCTACACAGATGTGCACAGGGCTTCAGAAAATTCATTTGCCCTTCCATTTCTGAATGGAAGGGAACTGATTTTAGCAATGAGGGTGGGATGTTTCAAGCCCTCACTTCACCACAGTACAGCTCACTTCTCCCAAAAGGATTCTCCTTCTCAGATCTTACCGTTCTAGGGAGTGTGTCTGCCACTCCTGTAACAGCAAGTCTAGAAATTCAAAGCAGCGCCTGAAAGAGGACAAAGGAGAGAGATTATCAGACCTATTTCAGCTAAAAGAGAGGCACACAGCTTCCACAGGACTTGCCACCACACGTTATTCATTTATTATTATGGGGCCCGGCTGGATACAGAAATCAGCAGTATAAAGGGTTAACAGGTTACCCGGTAAGCATTGCCTTACCTGCATGCTTACTGGGGTAACCGATTAACCAGTGCCTGGCTCAAGCCAGCCTGGATGAAGCAGCCCCCGACCAGTGCAGCGGGCATGGCCCAGCCAAGACAGAGCAGCCCGCAGCATGGGTGGGGGGCTGCCCCACTCTGGCCAAGACTGCTGCACTGTGCTGCGGGTGGGGAGGGGAGGGAAAAGGGGTGCTTCAGCCTAGCAGGGCTTGCGAAGCCCCCCCATTTACAGTGCAACATGGTGGGCCCCACCAGGCTGTAGCAGCCCGTCGCCCCAGTTAACCAGTTTCAACAGAACATTTAACCAGTTAAATAGTTAACTGGAATTTTGCTTGTTCACTAATTATTAAAAATATTAGTGGGACTGTACAGCTCAAATTCTACAAAGAGTTTTTCACATAAAACATATTAACCTAGTCTACACTAACGGTCTAAAGCACTGGAATGCCACCACTGTACAAACCAGTGCTCTGGACTATGGCTGCAGATTACTACTTGAGGATATATTTGGATTTTGCTTCTTTTTAATAAAAGGACATTGAGAGGTAGAGAAGATCTAAGTCAACATTACTTTGTAGCTGTTAGCGCTTTACAAACACTATGCTTCCCATCAAGTCTGAAAAGAAGGTATTTTCTCATCTCCATTTTTCCCATTAAGAAACTGAAGGAAAAAGATATTAAGAGACTTGCTTAAGTTATGTGACAGAGCTGAAGTCAGTACGTGACAATCATCAATTGTTCTTATTTCTGTTGGTCAACCTAGAGGAGGGGAGCCAAGATAACATACCAAAGTCTTCCAACTAGTCAGTAGAAAGGAAATAGTCACTGATTTTTATGGGCAGAAGAGCCTTTGGCATAATACAGGTTATCGAATTTCAAAGAATGCAACTTCTACACTCTGGTCGAAAAAGAGACATACCACAGCAGTGAGATAAAACAGGAGCACATCTGATGCCTTGAAAGGCAGCCAAACTAATGTAATAATATCATAATATCTAAAAATGCACAAAGACATTTAACTATACACTCACACTAAAGGGCATCCTTCCTTTTCAGAAACAGTGACTCTTCCCTATACAGTGTGTAAATTTTCCAAAAACCACTTGGTATGAATTTTTCATAGCCACCTAGGGGATTCAGACACATCTATTAATATGAAGGGAAGATGTGCAAATAAATCCTCTACATCACTTTGAAAAACTCAGCTTTTCATTTAAAGAAGAAACACAGCAAGAGAACTTAAGCCACTAACAAACAAGAAGAAAAGCTAACACCTCTTTCTCACCTTCTAACTGCAACAGACTTGGATGTACAGTTACTGGTTATGATGGGTATTAGTCGAGGGATATGCGTATGCTAGAACAAGAAAAATGGGAGAAAAACCTTTACATTTTTGATTTGTGGAAGTAAAAATAAATTTCCCCTAAAGCAGCACGCACACGCATGCTCTCTCTCTCTGTGTCTCTGTCTCTCTCTCTCTCTCTCATATGTATATATATTTTGGCTCATTTTTAAAAATTTAGCTCTTAGACAAAGGAATATTTTTAAAACAGACATGGACTCCTTAATTACACTTATGGAACCAGGCTCCAGACGGTCTGTGAGAGACAGAAGCCTGCAGCAGGAAGGCATGCCAAGGCTCCCCACAGAGTGCCAGCTGCATCAGCGGGCAGAAGCCACACTCCTTGACTAATGGCCTTAGACAAGATACAGTGTCCATGGAGTGTTTACAAAGAGTCTTTATATGATGATGGGAAGGCAAGGAAAAGGGGTTTAAAACAGACTTCAGAGAAATATATGCTCAAGTCTCCAAAGGCAAAATCCTGTGCTTCTGCAAAGAAGTTTCCCTAATAGATCTTCTGCTGATTAATACTCGTCATCCACTCTCAAAGTTCTTTGCAAACCTTCACTGGTCAAACTTCACAAGATCCCCCTGAGGCAGGTAGGCAGATATTATTATCCCACATTACAGATAGGAAAACCAAAGGACAGAGAGGCAGGCCCCTGATCACGTACCACTTAAGTCAATGGGAGTTTTGGCCTTGGATTTCAGTAAGTGCAGGATTAGATCCTAAGTGAATTGCCAAAGATGAGTTTGGCAAATCCCGTCCTGATTCCTAGCCCTACACTGCAACCACACACGCTAGAATAATGCATAGTTCATAAAGAAATAGAGCACTTCCATTTTTCTTAGACAAAATAACACAGAAGGTACCCTGTTTAACAGTAAAATTATTCTGAATTGATCTTTGAGCGTGTAAATATGAACATGCTTAGGTCGTGTTGTACAGCTGGAATCTAGAGCAACCTGGAAAGTTATGACCTTGAACCCTCGCTTGCTGACCAGCAGCATTTATATTTAACAAAAGAGCTGCTTGTTCACCATCTTTACTCACTTACTAGTAGTACTATGAGAACTACAGTAAAATTCGGGTGGTCCGGCATCCAGTGGTCGCATTCAGGACGTTCTGGTCAGTTACAGTCACTCCGTCTGGATCCACAGCCGACACGCAGTTAATGTAACTTTCCTCTCTACTGCCGGGAAGAGGGGGGGCAGGAGAAGGTAGGGGTCGGTGGGAGAGCGGGAGGGGGAGGAGGAGCCTGTCACCTGCGGATCTACCTGTTCCCACTGCCTCCCCCTCCCGGCAGTAGAGAGGAAAGTTACATTAACTGCGTGTCGGCTGTGGATCCAGACGGAGTGACTGTAACTGACCAGAACGTCCTGAATGCAGCTGCTTTGGCACACCCTCGCCCCCTCCTCCTCCTCCTCTCCCTCTCCCACCGACCCCTACCTTCCCCTGGCCCCCCTCCTCCCGGCAGTAGAGAGGAAAATTACATTAACTGCGTGTCGGCTGTGGATCCAGCCGGAGTGACTGTAACTGACCAGAACGTCCTGAATGCGGCTGCCTGCCTGTCACCACCTCTCCTCTTCTGCTCGCAGGCTCTGCCTCCCTGCAGCAGGAGGGAGGGTTTGGCACCCCCCCCCCTCCTCCGCTTCTCCTTCGACGAGACCCGCCCCTGCCAGAGTACCTCCTGATAGTCCGGCATTTCTGATAATCCGGCACCACCTGGGTCCCAAGGGTGCCAGATTACTGGAAATCTACTGTACTTCCTTTTCCCGTTACAGTCCAGAATGTATTTGATCATGCATCCTACAGCCTGAACCATCAGAACAAGGTCTTCATGACACAAAATATCACTGTGCTAACTTTAATGCCAGATAGCTAATGATAATCTGTGGCGTTGTCCCCTCCCATTCCTACAGCTAATGGCCACCCAAATGCTACTCTTCCAGCAAGCAGCCTAAAAATCAATTCCCCTAGCAAATGAATGCCTCTGTAGTGCTCTTCTTTTTGGGTGGCTATGCAACTTCAACTGAACAAGTTAGTCAGTAAACCATCATAAATTGGGTTCGTAAACAAATAGAGCCACCAAGTAGTAACTTCCATTTATAGTGAATAAACTATCACTCCTTATTTATTGTCCGTCTCTGCCTTTCAAATTGTGTTTCAGTAAATAGTATTCTCTGTTCTCAGACATGGTAGAGGAGGTCAACAAATGGAAGGCATTGTCTGAATGCAGATACCATATCCAGATGAGAGTCAAGAATGGTGTCTCATAACCAATTTTGTAACAGTTAGGTGCTTAATCTATTCATTTAAGCTAATTTTCACCATTGACATGCTAACATTCTCTCCTAAGTTTAGATCTGATCCCACAGACCGATTTAAGCCTTTAGAGGACATAATGTTTGTTCTAGTATATACTTACTCGGATGATTAATCTAACAGCTACAACACCAGAAGTGGACATTACTTTGGCACTGTTGGGAATCAGGTTAAAGATGGTTGGCATGATGGCTTCTGCTCCATGGTCAAACTTGTTTCCCAGAATGGAGGACAAATGTCTGAAAACCAATTAAGTAGTTCTGGTAAACATGCTTTAGATTATGCTAGTCATAGTAATGTAGAGTATCGACATGCACTATTTCATGATTTTAGTCTCCTCTCTATTTCCACCAAAGAACAAGACATATCTCAAATATTTTCCAGTTATCTCAAACCAGTGCTGTGCTGTCTGCTCATCCAGATTTTTACCAAATAATAAATTCAGCATGGAAGCTCATCAGATCACTGGCACCCTGTTAAAGATGCACTGGCAAAGCCATAGGGCACTCCAGAATGACTTGGTTTTCTAGCACTTGTCAGTTTCAGATTCCGTTTTCTCTCAAACTTCCGTCTTGCCTTGACATTTGTGAATTTCATAAAGGATTATTAAAAATGCTCTAGTCACCTTTCTTCAAAGTCACTGCCCCAGGAGCATTCAACATTTAGTTACTATGGATGGGGGAACCAGCCCAGAGAAAACAAGAATTGATCTGTATTTTCATCCCAAATTCAGCCTGAATCAAAAGGCAACACACTTCATATTTTTATTATTCCATTTTATGCTGCCTCCTTGCCTGCTGCCCACAGCTGGGCCAGAAAATGTGTGTGAGAAATATCACAAGAGAAGCTATTCTGTTGGCATTTCTGGCCTTAAGAGACCCAGATGAATGGAAACTTTCCGACCCCACTTTGCAGTCTCCTAAAGGAAAGTGGACATTGTCATGTGTTTTCTATATTAAAGATGCTTTGATCTGCAGTTTGTCCCCTTGCTACTGAGTACATACATAAGATTTGTATTTTAACATAATTAAATACAATTAACCACTATGGATCTGATTCTTCAGTCCTTAACCATGACCAAATTCTGCAGTCCATGCAAGCCCACGGATTTAAAATGTGGTGTAAAGGAGAGCAAAATACGGCCCTCCACTTCAGTTCTATTGGAGTCAGCTACCCAGGGCACATTTCATTTTGTTATTTGAAATTGTGATATTACACTATTGAAAGGCATTTCACGGTATTATGGACTTGACCTTGCAGAGGCTGAGTACCCTCAATTTCCATGGTATTCACTGGGCCCTGAAGGTACTGAACTACTCACAGGCCAGGCATTGTATTCTGTTGTCTTTGCCTGTTTGCAAAAACATATAACTCAACCCAACCTGTTTGACTGTGAACTCACTCTTAGAATGTCTCAAGCAAACTTTGGTCATGAGCAATGTTCCCTGTAAGCTGAGCTCATGGCTAGCTGCCCAGGAGAGATTCAAATGCCATCTAGCTGATTAGTTGAGCGCCTGCAGTCGGCAGCGTGTGTTTCTCCTACTAGCGGTGTATATCCACACGTGCCTCAATGCACATAACAAAATGTATTCTGCACATGCATGGACAAAATTAGAGGAAACACTAGTCATAAGCCCAGAACCAAAGAGCTCTACCTCCTCCCCTTTAAAATGAAAATGTGGTGGTGTGTGTACTAGAGCTAATGGGAGTGCCAAATATATTCTGTGATTTTACAGGCACTGTTTTGTATTTGAATAACTTAGGAACACTTGGAGGCATTTTTAAAGCTAGCTTTGGCCAGCAATAAACCTATAAACTCAGATTTTGCCCTTTGCTACATAGGTTATCAATCCGAAGTAGCTCCACTGAAGTTAATGGAGCTACTGCAGATGGACACCGGTGTAACTGAGATCAGAATCTGGTCCATAATGTGAGTAATGGCTTTCCAAGATTAAAAACTGAATTCAAGGCCTGCGCAGTCAACATTTCCAAACACTGTCACCCTACAGATCCAGTGCAGCCTGCATGAAAATGGTTTGTAAATGGCTGTGGTAAAAACCAAGTTCTAACATCACTCTGGCTGTCTAGTGCCGACAAGGTCAAATGTCGTCAGAAATGTGTTCGAGCCAGGTTCTCCTCCCTTCATCTAATGTAACTGTATAACACGGTTTAGAATGTGGAGCTTTGTATTCCTTACCCCAACGTGATACAAGCCTCTCGCACTACCTGAGACCGCAGATCTTTAGCAGACAGTTTAAATGCTCCATCCAGCAGACGTAAGTGTTGGAAGAAGTTATCATATTCAGCAGCTCCAGCTAATAGTAAGGATCGGATCTTTTTCAGCTGTTGACAAATAAGATTTAAGGACTTACAGATAACAAAATAGCAAGACACACTGGTTTCCATTAATGAGAAATAAAAACACTCAGAACTGTGTTCAAGGCTAGTGCTCATTTTTCAATTTCTCTATAAAAACATGAATGTGTTGAGAAAAAGGTTCTTAACACAATCTAAGATCATGCACTTCAGGAATCAACATATTGAAGAAATGTAAGAACATTCATATGTTAGCTTTGGCCAATCTACAGGAATCCAAAAATGTCACTGACCAATGACAAAATGTGGCAAGACATGCATCTGACAAAGTGGATCTTTGCCCACGAAAGCCTATGCTCCAATAAATCTATTCGTCTATAAGATGCCACAGGACTGCTCGTTGTTTATGCAAGATAGACATTCACTTTTCAAGCCAGACATTCACTTTTCTAATTGCATCATGAAAGTTATTGGGACATTTAAACAAGTCAAAGAATCTTAAGGTTGCTCCTCCACTCCCCTTCCCCCCATTTACAATGTTTAGGGGAATGAACATCTTGAAACATTCAAGTGCGCTGTATTCACTGAAACACTACAGTTCTCTCACGGCTATCGCAGTAAAAAGATGGTCTGACTTGAAAAGCCACGAGTCCGATTCTGATCTCAGTTATACCAGTGTAAATCTGGAACATCTCCACTGAATTCATTAGAATCAGGCCTTGTCTACACTCGGAGTGAAATCGTGGCCCGGTGAAATCAATGGCAAAATTCCCATTCACTTCAATCGGACCAGGCTTTCACTCTAGGGAGCCGGTTTTAGCCACTGATGTAACTACACCAATGCAAACCAGTAATCATGGTGCACCAATGTCAAGTCACGATTCAGTTGTAGAGCTCAGGTTCTGACTGGATTAAACTGCACTAGTACATGTCACTGCTTAGACAAGAATTTCAAAGTAACACATGGGATTTGTACCAGTAAAGTTACATCACTGTATTTACCCCAGTGGCAGAAACCAACAAGGTCTTTGCTGATTTAACATCAGAGTAATTTAGCACTTGTCTATAAATAAGACAAACTTACCATGTCCATTTCAGATCTGATTTTGCACTACCTTGCTCCCTGTGCCATCATTTCCACCTGTGTGCAATGAATGCCAAATGCTACCAAAATGTTTTACCCTCGCTTTGCACAGGTGTAAATGGCTACACAAGGAGGCAGTGAAGAGTCAGGCATTTTGCATGTGTGGATCTTCCCAAACAGAGCACAGAAAGGATGTTTCACAATTTTGAACTCCATTTTTTAAAATATGACTCTAAAGTCTAATAGCAATTTTCTAGCTTTCTCTATTTGTTTAAAAAAATAAGTACAGCTTAAATATATGATGACTTATTCAATATGCCTGTTCATGATATTTTCATTCTTATAAACCTAATACTTCATGATTTCCTTACATTTAAGCCCATAATATAAAATTCACCCCATGCAGAGAGTCAGCATACAGCCAATGCACCATTTAAACTGCACAGAAGCCCTATTTAGACAACTTCAGGGATGCACAGAATTTGTGCTGACACTCTGCTAAGGGATGAATTTCACGCATAAAAACCTGACATTAAAATAATTCACATATAAGTCCAATGCTTACTGCAGCTACTCTCTGCTCCCAGTCATGCTTATCATCAGATAGGATTTCCCTAATTTTATTTATGGATTCTTCAAGGTCTCGGCTGGAATAAATCTGTGAATTAAAACAAAAATGTTATCAAGATATAAGAAATACTTGCTCCAGTCAATCAGATGATTTCTCCACTGAACCTTTAACCCCCTTCACTCTTGAATTCTTTACTACCATAAGCAAAAGAACACATACTGTGTGTCGCTCTCAAGCTCTAAGAAACTACTATATTACAAAGTCAAGAAATATTCAATAACTATACAGGATGTTTCAAGTGTTATCCTTTTTTATTGTTTTACACCTCTACAGTTTAAAAGCAGTAAGCAGTATTTCTGGGGTCAACATCATAACTAAAACAGTCTTTTAGGAGGCCATTCAAAATACCAATAAATACAGAAAGACAAATTAACAAAATCTGATACATAAATTGCACCACAAAGTGTGTAAATAACGACTGAATAAGGGAAACCCATATTTCTTGGCACAATAAATAACTGTGCAGGTTTTTACTAGCACTGTTCATGTACCAGAGTTTGAAAGAATGTCCCAAAATAGCCCATTATTCATATAAACGGGCAACAGTTAAAAAGCTGAAGACTACAGGTTGAACCTCTCTACTCCAGCAACATCCATGGTCCGGCATGATTTCAGTTAGCTGGATGTCTGCTTAGTGTAGGTGTGGCAAGTTTCCCACGATCCTGTAAAGTTTGTTTACAACCACCAGTCCTGGCTCTCAGTGTCTGTGCTGTTGTTCAACTCTAAATTACCCTTAAAGAGACCAGCAAGCAGTGGAAGTGTTGGATATGCTGCTAAGCATTCGCATGATTTTTATGCTTTACCTATTTATTTCCTTATGTCACTACAGTAAAATTGTGTAACAACACTAACACTTTAATATGATGAAAGTGGAGAATTGTTGGCTAGGCGTAGGCTTATCTAGGGTGTATCAGTATAGCCATACATTATTAAGTAGCATTGCAAGTGCTGTTCCATTTATTCGCCACGATGAAATTAAAATAAGAGAGACCCACTCGCTATAAGATTAACTTCCTGTGGTTCAGCACTGGTCAGGTCCCAAGGGTGCTGGACTAGAGAGCTTTAAATACACAGGTGCAAAGAATTTTCTGAATGTCAAAGTACAAGAGTTCCACTGCATCAGCCCATAGCAAGTCAATGCTGTCATCACAAAAGAATGCTCGGTCTTCTTGGTTAGCCAACAGCGTTGAGGTGGTTGAAAGGAATTTTGCAAGAGTGATATTTGCAACATGTCAGCAGTGCAAGACAGGCTTGTCCTGAAGTCAGTGGTTCAATCCAGCCCTAAGTCCGGAACACCCTTTGTAATGAGTGTGACGTGTGCATGCGCGCAGAGAGGAATTTAGCAGTGGTTTGCACACAGTTCTTTCTGGATTCCAAGTCTTGCCCACCTGCCTTAACTACTACCCCTTGTGAGTCAGTGCAGTTTTATCATCACCCTTCTACAAAGGGGAAAGCTGAAGCACTGAGAAGTAAAAAAATCTGTTTGTCCTGGCTCCTATCTGACACACATCTCCAACAAGTGCAAGATCACACAGTTCAGAATTAGAACTCGAGAGCTTCTAGCTCCCAGCTAGATTTCAATCCTCGTCTATTCTTTGGTGCTTCTCTAATGTTGCCACCATACATAGTGGTAAATGAGAAAACAGCTATGCAGTGGGCATCATGGTGTAACATGCGTGTTACCAATCCAGCTTTGGTATCTTGACTATTCTGCCATCTGCAGGGAAGGCCAGATACTGCAATGGTCTCACAACCAGGGGAGGCACCAATATAAAGGCACCAATCAGGACTGTAATAATTAATATTGCTTAATTGAGAAACTAACATTTGATCACACGGTTTATTTAACCTTGGGAAGATAACTAGAATCAAATACCCAGATCTTTGGCAGATGCTGAAGTGACAATTACCCCAGGGAGAAAGAGGCAGGAAAGTCAGAGAATTCATGAGATCAGTTTAAAATCCTCTAGTCTATCAGGAATAGCTGAACAAAGTCTATCTTCAACCACTCAGGCACTGAGATAACTAAGAGCGGCCCTCTAGTATTTGAAGAGCAAATCAAATAATGCTGGAAATATTCAGTCTGGCAACTATCCGGGTCAGGAGAGAGAGCTGTGTGTTGACCTGGGGACCTCACCGGTGCTGAAACAGGGAATTTGCCAAACTGGGAGAGGTCAATGCCAGCCCCTCTGTTGCTAGTGGCAGCAAAAGGGGCTGCCATTGATGGAGCAGGGTCTGGGGATAGGAGGGGCTCTCAGGGGAAGAGGTATGGTGGTTGTAGAGCTCTGCCCATGCTGGCCAGGATCATAGTCCCATAGGAGCACAGCCCTGTGGCCAGCAGCGGAGTCCTGTTCCAGGGCTACACTCCTGTCCCCCACCCTAGGGCTCTCCAGCCACCCTGTCTCATCCTCTGAACTCCCCCTTCCTCCCCTCCCCACCCAGCACCCACTCCTCCACATCCCTCCCTGATCTAGAAGGCTGCAAATGAGCTACCTGCAGCACTCCGGGAGCTCTGGCGGGGTGAGGGAGGAGCTGCTCAGCACAGGGTCCCCAGCTTCCCCATGAGTGCTCCAGCCCCAGAGTACCCACCAATGCTGGACCACAGATGTTGCCAAACGAGGGAAATCCAGATGACAGAGGTCCAACCTGTACTGACAAATCCTAGGTGCATGTGACCATTAGAAAACTTTCCACTGTTCATGTGAGTGCGGTGTTCAATCGTTCCTCTTTTGTCTATCATAGTTAGATGAACTCTCTACTGAGGCCGAATCCCCCTTTGTAGCCTTCACAAGTCTCAGCTCCCAGTAGAACTCTCTACTGAGGCTGAATCCCCCTTTGTAGCCTTCACAAGTCTCAGCTCCCAGTATTCTGTAGGTGCAACATCTCGTGACTTGCCTTTACTCTCTGTCCATAACTGCACCACTTGCTTCAGGGAGTTAGGTCAGATCCAGTGTAGGATGGCCTGTTCATGTTAAAGATTCTTCGGTGGCTTGCTCCAGCCACCGTCACAGCCCTTGTTTCTTCATTTCCCTCCCCTTTCCTTCAGTCTGCTGAGCACTGACTTCCCTTTTAGCCCTCCAGACAATTGCTCCTCTGCAGCTCCTGTCATTTGTACTCCCCTGCTTGCATCTCTCTGGCTCGCCCACTCTCCATCTCTTTCAAAATCTGAAAACTCCCTCGCCTACCTCTTTATTAGCTCTCGCCACCACTGAAGTTCATGGGCCTCAACTGCCGATGTCAGTGACAGCGGGACTGCGTTGGACATCTGTGTTATACTGTTAAAAGTTTTAAATAGATTTTTTCTTACCTGTACTGTTGGGACGTCCTCAAACGCTTTAATAAAATCTTCCTCATCGACAGCACCAGCTCCCTCTTTGGCTGCTGACAGACAGATACATGAGAAAGTCTTTTCACCCCCTCATCAACAGTACCCTCAACAAGAGAAAGACTCAGCTATGAAAGCACCGAACGAAGTGAAAATTCACACACTTCTCAGACCTACAACGAAAGAGTGATACAGCAGTAATGGGAACAATGCTGGCAAGGAAATCCAAAGCCAAACATAACCCATGCACTGCGTCCTTCCATTCCTGGGCACCTCAGAGCACATAATGAAAGCCATTCAGGCAACCACTCTACTGTTTAAGGGGTGCTGCCTGAAAAGATGAGATGGAATATTATCTTTAGTCTCTTTTATAATTAATGACTGAGGGGCTCTCCGGACAGGAGCACAGACTGATGATATGGAGATAGAGAGAAAAGAGAAAGGTTTAAGGACATTATTCAGCTGGGGAGGTTCATTTGAGAATGCAATCAGGAAAGTTTGCTTTAGTGGCATTTTGCAAATCCATTCAGAGTTATTGTTCAGTTGGGTTTTTTCATCCTTCAATGAGTCAATCAGAAGTTGGAGGTCAAGTGGCACAAATGTTTAAAAACAAAACAAAACACACTTCTCAACTGGTTTAAATTTCATGAAACTGAAGTTGAACACACACATTTTTTACCTTATTTGTTAAATAAGCAGCCTGTGTTTAAGCTTTTTAACTGCAGAGGTGCAGTTCCTTTAGGAGGAACAGGTGGATCACTGCACACTGTTGCTTCAAACACAGTGTTGAAGCTCATTATGTGGATCTCGACGTTGGAATCATTGCAGGTCCACTCTTCCAGAACTCATCTTTGGCGTTCAGCCAGAATTAGTGTCATGCTCTCAGACAGAGCAATTCACCATCCTACAGAGGTCTAGCACAAGGATTATGCAGCAATTAGATTCTGAAAATAAAGCTTAAATGGGACTTTAGTGATGATTAGATGCTGTGCAGCCCCTTCACAGAGAGGTGAGTTTCACCCAGTATGCCATATTGCCTTACCTGTGGACTTTGAGCCCAGGGCTGCAGACCCAAGCCTGCGAGCAGTCCCCATGCCAACTCTGCGGGAGTTCGGAGGGGCCTTAGAAGATGTAGACGAGCTGGCAGACGAAGGTCTGTTCCCGTCCACGGAGTCTTCATCATCAAAATTTTTATCTGAGGAAGAATCATATTCGGCCATAACTCAGGAGAAATTAAAACTTTCCCCAGCTGTGTACTATATTGGAGCAAATGCTCCATGTCTTTCTTGGAAGAATACTAGAAACGGCTCTCACTTCAACAGCTTTTTAAGGCATCACTAAATTATTTTTAAAATAAACCAACAAGCTATGATCCATGTCTGCACCCAAGTGTCCTTTTGAAATATACATTCAGGGAGCTGGACAGCTTTGGAGATCTACTGTCACCTGAAGCGGGACAGTTTACATCCAAGCTAGCCCCGCAGTGATGGAGAAGCACTACCAATTGACAGCTACTGTGGGGGTCTCAAGCCAGACCCCTTACCTTTGCATACGCTTTGCTGCTCCTTTCCCTGCCAGAAAGGAGAAAGCAGGCCTTAGTACAATTGAGAATTCAGGCAGTGGTCTGTCACCGTGGCTTAAGAGGTCAAGGACTGAAGGGCCCATATATCCTGAACTATCCTCTCGCCCAAGAAGTGGTGCATGTACAACAGGACCGAGGGCAGCGCTGACATATCACGTCTAATCTACCTCAATGAGAGGGGGAAGCTATTTTGGCAGGAGAGCACCTCCAGCTGACAGACAGTGGTGTTCACAGCACTTCAAGTCGAGGGAACTTACGTCTCTCAGGAGGGTGGTTTTCCACACTACTGAGCGAGGCAAGTTACATTGACTTACGCGATAGTACAGACAAGCCCCAAGGCTCCTCAGAGGGGCAACGTGGGGAAGATCACCGGGACTGCTTGTGTGGTGCATATGTTCTGCGGATCGGTAAAAACGCCGGATTTCGGGGCTGTGAATCATGCAACTTTCAAAAGCCGTAAATCCACTTTAACTTGTTTTTAAATGATAATTTGCTACATAGTCCATCAGAAGGTGCCAAATGTTTGGATGGTTGACCCAGGCTTTGTGTGCTAAGAAAATCAGCCTGAGTTTAGCTCTGCTTCCATCCAAATCTACTCCCACCACACAGCCCTTCAGGACCACTTTTCACCACCTAGGGTGACTTGCCTTTGCAAAAGGCAAAAAGCGGGATGTATGCAGGTGTGTCACCCGCCTCTTTGGTTTTGCCCTCTATCCCCTTCTCTCTGTCCGAAACTCCTCCTCCTCTCCCTGAGGCCCCACCACGGGCAAGAACAGAAGTCAAAGCCCAGCCACAGTACGAGCTGCCCACGCTGCTGTGGGGAGCCCCAGGCCCTCCCCCTATCCTGAGCAGAGAGATGGGTTGCCAGAGACCAGCTCCTGGCCCACGTCCCACTCCCCAGTCCCATCAATGCCATCTGTAATCATCCAAACAGGCCTCTGTGGAGCAATTCAAGGCACTTGCTCCAGCCCCGGCCCAAGCACATTCAGCATTTAACAGGTCTGGGCATTCATTAGTCACTCACTCCCAACCCAGCATACAATTTAAGTACCTGCCTAAGTCCTGCCCTATTCAGGAAAGCTTTTAAGCATCAGTTTCACCTTAAGCATAGGCATACAATGAAGTGACTCCAGGGGTGACGACATTCCTGCCCCGGGCCCTCTGCACCATTTAAATCCTTGGCATGGGATGGCGAGGATGGGCTTGTGCAGACCTTTAGAACTGAATTTCACCCCAGCTATGTTTTCTTTTAAATTCTTATATAGAGCTATATAGCTATTAAGTAAATGATTCATTACTATATATTACCAGCCAAGAGGACATCATTACCATAAATATAAACACAACACAGAAAAAGCTGCAGTATTTACAAAATAGCACTTTTATCCAGTAGTATACATCCTCTTTCAGTTGCATTAATGTCCATCTAGTGTGTCATTTATTTAACTTAAAAATAATCAAGCATGTGCTTTTCCAACCCTGTTTCCCTCCCCACAGCCAGCACACACAAAAGGGTGTGGTTTCCTATTCCAGATACTGAAGTAAAATAAAAACTCAGAAACCACACATCAAGCAGGACCTCGTTTTTGTAGCATGTTAGTAAAATTCCATTCATTTTGTTAACATTCCAGTCTAAAATGAGCTTTCCTGAACATTAGCTATAAACAAAATTACAATCACATGGATCTTCTTGTACATTAAAAGTCAACATGGGGGCCAAATGTTATTTTTTTCCCCTAATATCTATGTTGAATACTCTTTAACAGCCAAAGAGCATTTCCTGGATTGAAAATTAAGGATAATATTCTGGCACATTCAAGGCTGCACACCAGGTCTTTCAGCAGCACATGTACTGGACAGAAAGAGAAACAAAGAACAGAATAAATCTGAATGTGGAGTTCACAAAATAAAATACAACCAAGTCAGCTACACAGTAAAATAAGGAAGGACATTGTTCCCAATTCAATACCTGATGGTCACAATCATTATTTAGAATAAGGATCAAATGTTGCATTCTAGCTGTAAATCCTAAAAGGCCAAATTTAACCCAGTGTAATTCCACTGACTTCAATGGTTGAGAGCCAGGGATCGATTTGGACCACAATGTTTAATGTTTAACAATCATGACTATTCTCCTGCCTTATGACCCCAATGCTCATTAGATGACTACTAATATCCATCGGAGACATGCCTTACTAAAAGAGGCCTTTGTCTGCTCACTCCTCTGCTCTCTCTTTCAAAAAATGCAATTTGCTTAAAATCTCTTCTATTTCCTTACAATCATTAAAAAGAAAAAGAGAAAATATTGCTTACAAGTGCATATCCTTTTGCAAATAAGCTTCCTCAACATTCCTTCATATCTTCCATAGCGTGCCCAGCTGTAACACTGTTTCACAGACTGCTGCAGCTTTCAGCCCCGAACAGAATCAATCATTGCTCCTGTATTCATTAAGCTGCTGTCTTCACACGTGGATTTAAACAGCTATGGCTTCAGTCCCGTCTGTACAACTGAGGCTCTGTCAGATTCACATGAACGTCCATAGGAGCCCAGAAAACTTCAGGCCACTTGCAGGAAGGAAATTCACTGCTACTGTTAGTAACCGAGGACAGACAAGCCTAGAACATAGGCGAGCTTACTATCTTGCTGGCTTGGCTTGCAATGGAAACTAGCCTGAGTTTATCCCTTGGGAAGCTCTAACAGGAGCATCTCAACAGCTGTCATCATTTGTCCATGACGAATAAATTTAGTCATTATTCATTTTGCAGCGTAACCCCTTCAGGTCTGGGTGAGGTGTAAAAGAAGCAGAAGGTGCTATCCCAGGAGTTCAAGGATCTGAGCAGATAACGAGCCAATGTTTTCTTCACCATAACTACTGAGCTGGCACGTCAGGGAGAATGTTTCAAAATAGCATGGGATGTTTTAAAACTTAACTATAATCATAAGAGTCTCAAGTGGATACTTGAAAAATATGACCTGCTTGGGCCCTTAGAAACTTCTGCTAATCATTGTAGCCGAGTCTCTTGTTAGCTAGCAATATATGGGTGGTACTTGAACAGAGCACTATTTCTTGTAAAGAATGTTGTAAAGAATACCTGAGCTAGTCTTGCCCAATGCATTTCTAGTTAAGATGCTGCATTATGGTCTTTGGGCCTGATTCTACACGGTGCTGAACGCCCTCTATTCCCACTGAGGTCAACGTACCCATCTGTGTATTCCCGAGATACCTATTGTCTTGGGATCTAAGCATCAATGGATCCTGATGTGCTTGGCACCTTTGTAAGATGAGACCCTAAAGCAAGAGTGGGGAACCTTTTTTGGGTTGGAGGCAGCTGCCCCACAGAAAAATCTGTTGGGGCCGCACAAAAACAAAACAAAAAACTCCACACACACAAAAAATCACCTCAGCAACTTGGCTTCTAACTGAGAAGGAGAAAGTCACTCCCCACATTTCCCTCCTACAGCAGAGCCTAGGGGGGCCCAGCCTGGTAGATTTTGTGTGCTCCAACCCTGCGGTAGGGCAGTGTGTGGGGGGGGGAGGCTGGAGTGCCAGCACAGACTCCCCAATGCTGGGGGAGGGGCTGAGCCTCTGGGGCCAAATCCTGGCAAGTCAGGGACCACATCCGGCGCCTGGACTGAGGTTCCCCACCACTGCCTTAAAGCCCTAAGCCCACATTTTCCAACTTACATGCCTTAAGTTAAGCAACTAAATCCATATTTGGTCATCTTTAAAAAAAAATAAAAAGAGAGAGAGAGAGAGAGAGAGACACTGAGCACCCACAAAGAGATCAACAGGACCTATGGATTGTCATGTGCCAACAGTGTCTGTCTGCTATGTATATTGGACAAACTTCTCAGACACTTCGCCAAAGAATCAATGCACACTAAACAGACATCAGTCAGTTTCACAAAGAAAAAACAGTTTCTTGAGGTTTCAACCAGACTGGGCATTGTCTCAATGACCTTACTACATGCATCCTGATTCATTTCCCCAATTATCACTCTTAATATCATTATCTCATAGACGCTAACCTCCTCCTCCTCACTCTCCCTCTGTTCTAAAATCTGATTTGTCAATTTTATGTGTGTTCACTTTTTTTGATTGTATCCCTTTGGTATATATGGTCATGCCAATTTTCTTCCACAATTTGATCTGAGGAAGTGGGTCTGGCCCATGAAAGCTCATCACCATCTTGTGAGTCTTTAAAGTGCTGCATAGTCCTGTTTCTTGTTTCTGAGAAACAGGCTTCTGTCGCTGAGATGCATGACACTGGGCTACCAAGTTTGGAAATTTTGACCTAAAGAAACTTCATCTAAATGACTATCTTGAGGTCTCTTTTGAACCAGCATACGCACCAAAAACGACTGCATGGCTCAGAGAATCGGTACACAAACTCTACCTCTGAGTTACCTGTTCAAAACCAACCCAGGTTGACGTGACATGGCATTACTCCCTAGCTTTCTGATGCCCTATGTGAAATGTACTAATGTGTCTTAGGCAGATTTCAGAGGAAAATGCCCACAGCATGCAAATAGCATCATCTAACCCAAATGGCATTATCTAACCAGCCGATGTAACACATCCCGCGTACTCCTTTACACGTCCTGTACTCTG